TCCAAGGACAACTGCCTGTTCTGGCACTCGGCGATCTTGTCGTAGTAGGCAATCTCCTGCCGGAACAACATCCCGGTGCTGGAGACAAATGGGCCGACCCTCGTCGCCTCAGGGCCTTTTTTGAGAGGCTATGGTCCATAGGCCATCGCCCAGTGAAGCTTTTTGGCATGGAACAAAGATTTCGAGGGATGAAGCTTTTTTGGAAGGCTGGTGATGCGCAACCTTTGCTGAGCTCCTTCTCGGTGCAGTTCCATTTGGTGATGTCTTCGGTCACATTCTCCAGCTTGTAGTAGGTGCTCCACCAAGTCGTCTGCAGGGGCCAAGTTTCTCACGTCTGGTTGCAAGCATTCTGTAGTGGGCCCGTCGGCATGTGAAGAGTCTGGCCGTAAGCAGAGTGCCACAACCTCAACGGACCAATGTGAAGAAGCCCCTTGGCCCCTTGGCTCACGTCTTCAAAACAAGGAAACCCGAGCCATGCAAATGGCGCAACCAGGCGCAACCAGGTGCAACCCCTGGCTCTCTGCCAGCCTTTTTGCCCTTGAAGTGATCCCGCATGGACGCCAGGTAGGCCAAGACGTCGTCCCCCTTCACCCGGCACTCGTCGGGGCTCTCGAAGATGTTGATGCCTCGCGGCCCCAGAAAGCCGCAACGCCCCACTCCGAACCCTAGTGATGATCGTAATCGTGCTCGGTTTGCAGGGACGTCTCACTTCCTGAGTGGGATGGCCCAAGAAAACCCTAAACCTGTGTATCCAAAAAAGGGGTAGAGCGGCAGCCCGGACACAGACCCTCGTTCCACAAAAAAAACACTGACCCAAAAGGGCACACGGCCGTGGGTCAAAATCCCGTACCCCCAGTGAGCATCCCAATCCCCGCTAAAATAGGTTCAAAAATGGGTGGCGCACCTACCCCAAAATGGGATCCCATTAGTTTTGACCCACATCCACATTGCAACCAGGCCTTGGAACTGAGTGGTGAGCGTCTGCTCCTGCAGGATGAGACTGCTGCGGCTCGTCTTGCAGGTCTCCATCTCCTGGCGGGGATGGCGCAAGGGAGGCGACGCAGGTGCGACAGGATGGTGGGTCGTTGCCAAGGAGGAGGTGGGCAACAAAGGCGTCCAGGAATTCAGCACCCAAGGCAAACCAGATTCCTCTAAAAAGAGTGCCCACGTTGGAAGAGCCAGGCAAAAAGAAGTCCATGCCCGTTGAACACTCTGTCATGAATGCAAACACCGCTCGGACAACCAGAATCACTGTCTCAGCCCTTCCACCCAAAAGTCTGGACTTTCCGGGGCCGTAATGCGGACCTTCCAAAAACTGTCTTAAAACCGACGTGGTACGTGGTTTCCCCAGAAAGCGTCTTAACACCGCTCTGTTCTCCGCCTCCTCCCCCTTCCCTTCCGCACCGACGAGCTTTCCCCGGGCCCGCCCCCCGCTCCCGCGAGAAAACGGCTTCGCGCCTGCTTCTTCGAGGCGATGGCGGCGCGGCAGCTCTGGTGCGCCTCCCGCAGCTCCTTGAAGTCTCCGTTGAAGCCTGGCGGAGAAAACCGAAAAATCGCCGCGAGCTCGGGCCAAAGACCGTCAAAATCGCCCTTTCGAAAGGCAAAAAACGAGAACCAGCTCGCCAAGATCCATACCCCAAAGCACCATGGCAAAGAAGAAGAAAAACACAGCCCTCACGTCCAGCGCATTGCCGCGTCGCCTGATGGCAGGAAGGTTGTGTTTGACCCGTAGAGAGGGCAGCCAGCTGTCAAGTTGTCCTTCGCCGCGAGGCAAGCCGCGTCTGCGATGGCAGCTGCTTTCAGCACCTCCTCCTGCAACTTCTTCAGCTCCTCACAGTAGCAACTATGATCGTGACTGTGCGGCAAATAGCCCGAACAGAGCGGGCTGGAGACCAAGTCGCGTCCAAAAGGAGCAAAGTCAGGCAGGTCCATGTGAAGACCGAGGCCAAAACTTCTCCATTGGGTGAGGGTTTGGGGCTTTCCGCCATGTGCATGCAACAAAGCGACTTTGGTCTTTTGCAGCAAGACGGTCCTCATTTTTTGGAGCTGTGGCCAGATCTAACTGGCTCTTGGGTCAATTGACAAGCATCGGTATCCAGTTCTGAAGCAGAAGTTCGCAAAATCCAATGGGGGTACCCTCCTGTTTACTAAACTTGACTGAGGGGTCCCGGAAAACTGTCTTCCTTGAAAAGGGCTCTGGTCGATGCCATGTTAGTGGACAGGAGGGTACGTTGTTTGTCCACCTTTGTGGCCGGCCTCCTTGATCATGGCTGCAAACTCAGTGACGTTGCCGTCCGCCTTGCCGTTCTTTGCAACCTTGGCCTGCTGGGCAAGAAGCATCACCTCAGCAAATGGCACGACAGTGCTGCAGCAATGGCCCAAATCTTTGAAGGAAGTATCAAAGTCGGGAACCAGCTTCGCTTTCTTCTGGCACCTGGCAAGGCTCCACCTGATCTTCGAGCCAGGAGACAAGGAGAAGACAACAAATCCAGAATTCATCTTTCTGAACCGTCTGCTGAAAGGCCAAAGTGCTGGCTCTTGGCTCAGGAATCACTGGGATACAGGGGTGCAAATAAAAGACTTTTCCGGTGACTCAACTTGATTACAGGCATTGCATTCAATCTCTCACCTTTGTGGAGCACTGCCTTTGCCGGATCCATACTTTCTTAACACCCTGTCCCAGTAAACACCAGCAGCTGCTGTTGCCGCCACGCTGCGGCTGCTACCAAAGCAGAAACGATTCAAACTACTACTCTTACTGCTGCCACCACCAATACTACTACTGCTACTGCTGCTACCGCTGCCACTACACTGCGACTGCCCCAAGCCAAAACTCTTGAAACCGTCCTTCCAGCAAAAACTGAAACCATGGACCAAGCCAGGCGAGGGCTGCAGGGCTGGAGAGCTGGGGGCCCCAGCCATGGCTTCCATCTCGGAGGCCTTGGCCTTCGCGCCGTTCGGTTGCGAGGCCATGAGGTTCACGATGCTGTCCTGCGGATTTCTTCGGAAAGAAGTTGTCCTCTCCTTTTTATCATTGAATGATGGGGAAGCTCTGTAACGAATGTCCGCCGCAGCTCTGTTACAGACTTTTCAACAACATTCACGGCCATTTGGGACCTGAAACTTTCCGAGTTGCTCATCCTGATCCTCAAGTGATGCGCTCTCAAGGTTTGCAGGTCAGAAGTCTGCGGAGGTCAGGTTCTCCGAGGTCTCCCTACTTGGACAAGGTTGGCCCCTTGCAATGAGAAGAACAAAGGCCTTGCGATTGAACGGGGTCGACTGCTTTTGGAGAAAGAAATAGGGTTCAATGATTCTGAGAGTACCAATTGATCGAAAGCATTGCAAGCGAATTACTACAAACTAGCAAAAATCACAATGACCTTCATATGGAGATCAAGCCAACTTCAACCTTGCAAAGATCTGACATTTCGAGAGATCTGACATTTCAACCTGGAAGCTTTGGTCAGCCAATTCGTAGCCACCTGAAGCCACGCCCCCACTCTTGACGTGGCCTGCTGCAAATTGGGCGCCGCATTGATCTTTGCGGCCAGGGAGGTCTGAAAAAGGCACAGCAGGACGAGGCGGAACATGGTCTGGGCCTGGAAGGGGTGAGGCGCGATTGTCGGACGGTCGGGTGGGGGGCGGGGGGTCCAAACAAAAAACGCTTCAAACAATACACCGCCAGCACTTCTACTGGCAGCATCATCATCATCATCATCATCATCATCATCATCATCATCATCATCATCATCATCATCATCATCATCATCATCATCATCACCATCAGTGCTGAAGCATCCGTGCTTGAAGCCAAAGGAAGTAGCGGTCATGCCCTGCCTCCATGATATTATGAGGGTCACGCATACATCCATAAACACGACTATCTTCGATCACAAACTGCTTGCACTGGCTTCCACGGTCCTTTGAAAAATCTGCAAGGTACAATACTTCGGATACGTTAAACAAAACCGAAAGCTTCCAGTCGCAGGATGCACCCAATGGCCTGTGATGCATGTATATACATACACATGGCTGTCCTGCCCTAGCCAATCCCAGAACGGACCAACAGTTTGCAACTGCCTTGTTTCTTGCGGCCCTGCAGACAGGGCTCCATGCCACTGCAAAAAGCTGCAAACCACGCACGGCGAGATACGAATCATCACCCGGCCCCCTCCACATGCCCGCCGAGGTGCAAAGGTGGATCGCCCAAGCTGCATTAACTGATGTCCCTATCGGACAGGTTTTGCTACTTCAGCCGGGTCTGGCAGCGGCCAACAAATGTCCACTGCGCGGCGGTTCGAGGAGGGGAAAAAGCTCGGATCCTCGAACTGTACGGAGCAAATACGATCACACCATGTACATGGCATATACGTGACTTCATTGAGGCATTAATCTCCCCTTCCTTGCGCAAGGGACAGCTGCCGCATCTGCAACAAAGTCCATGCGGAAGAATTCGAACAAGCACAGGCTTCAAAAGAATGAGTCGCTGCAAAGCCCATCTGCTGCAACTAAACTCTCTGCTCACCTGTCCAGTCCCTTGCCTTCAAGTTTGGCGAATTCATTCAGTAGGTTCAGAGGAAGTCGACGGGGTCAGATACCGCATAGCTCAGCAAAGAACGTTATCCATGAAGTGTGGACGTCCAACTCTGCTGTTGCCGGGAAGATCTTATTGGGAGGTATGTACTGAAGACAACAGCTTGGAAGAACTTGTGTCGTCGCACCAGTCTGGACACACATTGCAAAGCCCCACAAGGAGAACCCAAATCAAACTAGGTGTGGCTCAAAATTGAAGACTTGGGGTTAGTCTTTGTCGCCATTTGGCCATGGGTCAACAGCCCGTACCCCCAGTGAACATCCCAATCCCCACTAAAATAGGTTCCAAAATGGGTGGTGAATTCACCTACCTACCAAAATGGGATCCAAAACGGTCTTGACAACCACACCCATTTGCCCCGCCATGCGCTCCATGCGCCCCAGGCCGGGGATTCAGGGACCCACGCCCCAGCAGCCAGGCACCGGCCGCTGCTTGCCCTTGGGCCCTGGGCCGTGCAGCCGGGCGAAGCCTCGGGCGCATCGAGGAACAGACACGAAGGGAAGGGAACTCAAACCTATGTCCCCCCCCAAGAAACATACTTTCCTCGCTGGGGAAAGACTAGACTCACCAGAATCAACCATTTTTTGGGGGGGTGTTTGGGGGGTCCAGGGAAAGCTCTATGATGTAGAGAAGATCTATTGCTTGAGACAGTCCCCCGCCCTCCAATTACCCGGTTGTTCAGCGTGTGTCCGACGACTAATGAATCACTGACTTGTTAAACTCAAGGTGGTTCTACCCACCTTGCCAATTTGCAGAGTTGTGCGCTTCCACTATCCTCGGGGGCATTCGCAAGAAAACATCGCAAGAAAATAATGCTTCATCAAATTTGTGTGCGGCCAGCGCAAGAGATCGAAAGACTGGCAAAGCAACATCCATCTGGGTTGTCGTGACGGCTGGTCCTTATTCTTCCCATCAAACCGTTGATTTTGCTCAAGGCAAACCTCAATGGATACCCCTGCGAGCCGAAAAAGACCTCTCCTTCTCCGCGCATCTAGGCTGAGGCCTCGGCCCCACTCCGACCTGGGAGCCTCGCCCTCCTATTCGCGCGCTCGCGAAGGGATAGTTTGGGGAACTGCTACTAGTAGACATCTATATGGCCATGGGTCAAAAATAGGTCACAGACCCGTATGGCAACCAGAAAAAGCAGTTGGCAATCAATCCCGTACTTTAGACTGGCCGCCGGGCGAGAAGCAGTCGGCCGGGTGATGCGGTCTGTTTTCGTAGCCGGCACGTGTTGCCGTCATCCGAGCCTTCCACTTCGAGCACACCTGAACTGAGCCAAGACAATGTGTTTGTTGCTTGAATCCCTGTGCGGGTCTTGCTGTTGCGGTTCCTTTGCAGTGAACCATTTGGCCATGGGTCAAGAGCCAGTACCCCCAGTGATCATCCCAATCCCCACTAAAATAGGTTCTAAAATGGGTAGAAATGGTACCATTGGTTTCGACCCACAGCCATTGTGAGCGGGGGACCAATTACAGAGCATCCGTTGCAACCCCTCCACTCCTCTGAGGCCGTGGTCGAGGCGGAGGCGGCGCGGTAGCCGTCCTGCTGCTCCTGCTCCTAAGTCAAAGTGACACTGACACCCACTCGAAACGTTGGCAAAACTGTGATGTCTGATACCCTCCCACCAATTGTTACATGGAACCTGACGCAAAAGGGTGTCCCTGCTGGGGTCCCTTTGAACGGAACATGGTCCAAACCGAGACCCCCTCCCCCATCAGGTTCCCATGTGAAAAGTTGGTGGGGAGGGTAAAAAAGGGAAACCAAAAACAGACAAAAAACGCATCACCCACTCACTTTCCTGGCCTTCAAGGCTGCTGTGAGCTCCAGTGGCCACGATGATGTCTTAGGCCTGCCGGGCGCGCTATCGGCGCCCTTCAACGACCGGCTCAACAGTCGACGGATGGAAAGCACCAAGAGCCTTCCCCAAAGGGGAAGGTGCTGTCAGAAATGCAACCTAGTTGGGGTCCTTGGATATTTCCGCTGGTTTGCTTGCAAAGGCTTGGTTCCTGTTCTCCCCCGTACTTGAACAACCAATGCGTCTGACATTGGATTCCGTCTCTCACAAATGCCATGCTCGCCCCAAGCATTCAGAGGTCCCGATCCACTCGCCCCACACAAGCTCTGTCAACCTTGGCCGTGTTTAACCCACCCAGTCTTCGTCGCCTCGGCTGCTCACCAGTGGGTAGGCGCCTCGGCAGGCTCGGGCAACACGGCAGCAAATCCAAGGGAGAGGCTCTCACTGTTAATGCAAAGCCATTCTTTCCACAAAGCTGGAATTTTGATGCGAAAAATGGCCATGGGTCAAAATCCCGTACCCCCAGTGAACATCCCAATCCCCACTAAAATAGGTTCCAAAATGGGTGGTGAATTCACCTACCTACCAAAATGGGATCCAAAACGGTGTTGACAACCACAGCCAAATCGGCTCGCCGTTCACAATACCCTGTCGCTCATCTTCCATTTCAAGCTCTGGAAGGTCCGGCAAAGCATGCCGTTCCGGCCTGAAAAACGGTGTCGGAACCCAGGAATGTCGATCGATGGAACTCTTTGGATTGCACCTAAGTCGTTGAATATCTATCTATTCATATGTATGCATATGTATATATATATATATAGAAATAGGACTGAGGTAAATCCAAACCAACTGAAGTTTCATTCGGGACTGGATTCAAGATTCCCTGCAAAAGGCTGGAGCCTGAAGCTTCCAAAAAAACCTGACAACTCTGCAAATGCCAGTGAATCTGGAGGAAGGTGGGTCCATGGAGGCTACCATATATATATATATATATGTATATGTATTCACATATGCATTATATATATATATATACGCATATACATAACATATATATAGATACATTTATATTTATCTATCAGAATGTAGTCAAGGCGATCCAACAGTCATTGGCTTCATAGCCTCCCCCGATCCAAGGCTGCGAAGCTCGCAGCCAGGCTTCCCGGCCACAGGGACTCGCCTGCAACTGGCCGCCAGTCCCCCAACAGAAACGACGGATGGATTGCCCCACGGTGGACGTGGGAGCAAAGATCGATTTGTTTAGCAGGGTACCCTGGGCGGGGATCTCAACCACACCACAGTAAGCAAAAAAATGCGGTTCGCCGATGGACGTGGATGGAATACCCAGTCTGCCCATCAGCGCACAGAACATAGAGCTTGATAGCCAGGATAGGTGCAGCCTGGTCCAGTTGGGGCGTCCTCGGTTGAGGTTTCCATGTCATCCAGGGTCTCAACACCCCTGCGATTCGTCACATGGGCCCCAAGGCCAGGGTCAGTGACTCAGTGGATGCTTCCTGACTTGCATAAACATTGATTTGCTTCAAAAGCATTCCCAGCTGATCCACAGGTGTTGGCCGTATCTTCCTTTCCACTGGCTAACCAGAGAATCCACGGAGCCGAGCTTCCCTTAGCCTCAACACTCACCCTCGCAATGGGCCATCAATCTTGCTCCCGGGTTCTGCTCTCCCTTCTTGAGGGATTGGTGAAAAAAGAAAAAGATTCATCATGTGCTGTAGCACATAACTGCGCCATGCCCAGACCCGTCAAGAGTCTCGGCTTACTTCTCAACCCCCGCGCGTGTCGCGTCTCGCCTGCGTTGCTCTCCACCTCTGCCCTGGCGGGAAAATTTTGCCCTGAGGGCTGGCCATGGCCATGGTGAAAGAACATCCCTGGAAGGGTTGGTGACCCTCCCTGCAAATGCAGGGAACCACGTCTTGGAGGGAATGCCGCAAAGAAGGATCCTCTGGGTGATGTTTGGCACCAGCCCATGATGTTAAGCGACAATGCCATTCATGATTCATGCAGTAGTGCAAAATGAATGCCAAAGGCTCGTGCTGCCATAGCACAAGGGAGGAGACGACCTTGCAGGAAGTGTATCCAAGGAAGAAGGATCATTAAAAAAAAAAGTGCTTACCTCTTTGGAGTACTTTGCGTTGGTCCCGAGCCTCCCAGCCGCAACACGAAGCATGAGAAAAGCTCAAGGCGGCGCTGCCAAGTCCAAATAATTCATCCCAATCGCAGCGAAGAAGCAACACGTGAAACAACAAATGGGTGTTTCGCTTTTGAGGGTACTCTATCTTGGTGGTTTTAAGGGGACACCAAAGGAAATGCACGTTTTCTCCTTCTTCTTCTTTTTTGTCGGGGGGGTCCCCTCAAGACAGACACACCCGAATTGAGTGCAAATTGAAACAGGAAGCCCAGAGCAGCCTTCAAAAAAAAAACAGTCATGTATTCAGTCATCTGATGCTCTGGTCTCACCCATCCACATTGCGCGAAGCAGAAGCTTGGTTTTTAGCGCTCAAACTGGTACTGTCAGCATGTCCATCTGGATTTCGGGTCAGTCATGGCTGTTGATTCAAGTCAGCACGCGTTAAAGGTGACCACGGCACCTTTGCCGAGCCAGGTGAAACCACCCACGCCTCTCCGAGGAGCCGGTGGAAGGACGCCTGGCATACATTTCCCAAGAGGAAAGGCACCCTTTGAGGACTGTCGGCCCGGCCGGACCTTATAGGTTCATGAGGCGGCCAAGTCTTGCCAAGTCTCTTGCAACTTTGCAAGAGAGAGAGAGAGAGAGAGAGAGAGATTGCCAGACCTCCCGGCGTCTCAAGGTGACAAAAGTCACCCGCTCGGAGTTCCAGCAAAGCTCCTAATGCAACTAAGGCACGAGAAGAAAGAAGAAGAAAAAAAAGAGAGAGAGAAAAAAGAGGCTAGCGCAACTTTGAAAGAGAAGCATCCTCTCCTCTGCTGACTGGGATCAGCTGTACAGTCTTTTAACATCGCGCGCGACCAATAGAGGAGTTCGGCCTGTTCGTGTGAGAGAATTCCAGTGGTGCAAACCTTCCACGACCGCCTGCTTGCCCGGAAAGAATATGTTGCTCCTTGAAGTTGGCAGGGCCCTTGTACATGATTCTACTCTCTGCCCCCACTGCTTGGCGGGACCCGGTGACTTGAATCAGCACGGCCCTTTGTCCTCGCCCCCACCACCCACACCATGCCTGCACTGGATGTGGAGGGGAGTGCCTGCCCCGAGGCACGACTCCAAGTCAAAGCGGCCTTGAGCAATGAGCTTTACAGTGGCTCTGTGTCCAAACAGACAATCCCGCCAGAGGAGGTGATGTCCTTTAAGTCTCCGTTTTGACCATCTCAAAAACAAACTGGTTTTGGAAGATGCATAACAAGTCCAATTTCTGAAATGAATTGCGAGGCAAAAAGAAGACAAGTGTACAAGCAAGCCTACACCTCGGCAGAGCCTCGAAAGGATGCGTGCCAAATATCAGGCAATGTGGGCGGTCTGCTTGACAGGTCGTCCTGGGTGACCGTGAGAAAACTGAGCCCGGAAGATCCTTCCCGTTTGAGGCGCATTCCCTTTGGCTGCCAAGGGCTTGCTGCAATTCAGCAGTCTGCTTCGATCCAACCTCTTCAGAAGCTACTTGGGCGGTCACAAGGCCTGCAAAAATGTGTTGCATGAAGAAAATGAGCCCTTTGCAGTCATTCCACACAGGCTCCAAGGCAGCACAACCAATCTCATGTCAGCCCAAGATCTTCGCGTTCCTCCAAATGGTCTGCTTTGGCCCTTCTGCCTGGCCCCGTGATTCCGATGCCTGGACGGACCTCCAACCCGAAGTCCACACACCGCCTTGCCAGCGCATTCCACGGGATGCAGAACTTGTGCTTTCGAAGGGCCTTCTCCTCTGAGAACCCCTCTCCAAAAGGCCTCCACTTTGGGTTTATCAGGGGTTCTTAGCCTATCCAAGGTGGTTTCCTTTTGGTCTGGTGGAAAAGGTACCTTTTGGAGCTCTGTTTGACCTGCCTCTTGAACGAGGTAAAATTAGAGACGACTGACCCTCTTCCGAGCCGGCCTCAGCGCTTGCACCATCTGCGGCCGGTAGAGCAGGTACCGTGTCTCCAGGTTGGGACCGAAGTGTGCCACCTCAGATCTGCCATAAAACCCACATCTTGGTGGACGTTGGAAGGGGAGCAAAAACATATGTTTTAGCAGCCAAGTTGGGATGTCCCACTAAAGCACAATAAGCAAAAATGTCAGATGTTTCCCAACAACAACCACGGAATTGGGAAGCCTTGCAATCTGAAGCTGCCGGTGCATCAAGATCCCTGACATCACTACCAACTGCTCCTTTCAATTGCGGCACCTCGTCAAACGACTCGTCCAATCAGAACAGTTCTCCCCACATGAGATAAAAGGGAGAAAGCGTAGGCAATCGTACTGCGCGACCCCCCGCGCCCTCTAGGACCCGCACGAGCCATTCCATGTCCGCAGCCGCAATAGACTCCATCTGGCAGACAGAAGACGTCTCCAGCAGAAAAACCAGCGCAAGAATCCGAAACACATTTGGATAATCTACATATTGCAAGTAGACCTCCAATGCTAGCTGTTCGTCCAAACAAGAAACAATGACAACTGTCGTCTTCGATCCAATTCATCCACTTTGGGCGGTTGACAAACTCCCAATCTGGTAAGGGGGAACTCAACAAAACCATGTTCACCACAAACTCAGGACCTACGCCCACAGGGCACATCGCCACTCGCGGATCGGCTTTAGCATGAGAGACACCGACGCAAGCCGAGAATTGCACTGTCCCTGGTCATTTTTTTGGAAAACCCCGGGGCAAAACCGGCAAACTAATCGAGCCATCACTCGATAACTTTCAAACTGAGGGTGCTCTGCCTGCTGTTTGTGGAAGCCTCAAATCAAGCAAAAAACCCTTGCGGACAGCATCACATTGCACCATGCCGTTGCTTCCTCTGGTTTTGTAAGCCTAGGCGTCGCGAAACCAGCACGGCCGTGTCTGATCTCTTGAACCAGCGAGTCGACTCTATCGAGTTGCCTCAGGCATGAGCGATCCCTCGAACTCCAACCTTGGCCCAAGCAGAGACTGCACCATCGAGCCAACTCAGTGCCTTGTCCCTACGAAACGCAATGCGCTTCTTCAGGGATCATTTGGGAATGAAGCGGGCAATGCAAAAGCAGACGCAGCGCCTGGTCAAGTCAACAGCTCCAAGATTTGCTTGCATCACAAGAGTCACGCAGTAGCGGCTTCTTTTGCAAGTGCAATGACATTCTACCTCACGGTGCCAACAAATGTCGGCCAAAAAGTCCTTTTGGAGCAAGGTAACAATTGAATGGTAGGGTATGCGTATCGCATGTGACCTCTACAAGGCCAGTGTAGTGTAGTGTAGTATATTAGTAAATAAAGATACTTAGGGCTGGTCAAGTACATAATATACTCTTGTAACCCCTCTTTGAAACGGCGTCCCAATCACTTGCGACCCCAAAAAGTTGTCACTTGCGACCTCACACCACTTGCAACCTCCTAAATCACTTGTGACCTCAAATCTAATCACTTGCAACCTGGAGGGTGGGGGGTGGAGAGGGGGAATGATGCCGTTCTCTGTCACGAGCACAAACCAGCAGCGACAGTGGGCACACTCCAGCACCGATAGGGTGGTGGAACACGAACCAGCAGTGACATCCACGGGCAGGGTGGGGGGGGCAGCACCCGCCAGCCAAATGGCAAACAGACTCGCTCACTCCGCACCCTCTCTAGCGCACATGCTTCGGTGCCGGGCCCGTGGGCGCGTGGGCGCGGGGGTGCGTGTGAGCACGTGGGCGCGTGGGGCGCAAAAGCGCGTGGGTGCGGGAGTGGCGTGAGACAATTCAAGGTCACAGGCGACAATAAAAAAAAGGTCACAAGCGATGCAGCGCCCCTTTGAAACTACTTTGAGCCTCAAGAAGGACTTGTATCACCTCTACGCGTCAGGAGTCTTAGAGAAAGTTCATTTTTCGCATCCTGCGTGTTCTTTCCGTCGTCTGCGGCACATATGACTGGTGCAACATCTTCTCCACTGCCACTCTGATTCTACTGCGCATCGAACAACATGGACTGTCCGAACTTCATCGCGCCGCACTGAGCAATGGCTTCGAGCAGGAGGCTTGAAGCAAAAAGCGTGCCATCCACCCAATCCGTCTGAAACACTCCACGCGGGAAATCGGGAAAGGGGTAGAGACGGAGGGCAACAGGCCACGGATGCCCAGGTGATTCAAAAAACCGAAGCCGTTCAAAATTGACCAGGAGGGGTTACGCAGGTTTTGGTCCATGTTTCCACTTACCAGGGTTCCATTTTGGTACCGGTTTTTTGAGGCACAGCCATATCCTTTTGGTTTCCCACTGGACTCAACACCCGCGTTACCTCCGAGCGGCTCCGCGTAGAGCTTGGTCCCCACCTCTTGGGCCAGGCCCAGCTGAGCCACCTCGACACGCGACACGCGACACCAGGTCGGTCCGACTTCCCGACTTTGCCAGAACCGCGAACATGAACCTCCCACCATGCGATGAATCTCCCACCAAACCTGGCACCCTGGAAGATCATGTTCCCTCTCAGAGCCTGATTCGAGTCCTCGGTGTCTTTCTCTGGCTCCTAGGGCCCATCCCGGGTCAGCCCAGGCTGCGGGCGAAGTCACAACACTCCTCGAGGGTCAAGGGCTCGAGAGCCTGGACAACCACTCCCGGGATGAGCAAATGCCAAGGGCCTTTCTGCTTTCTCCGAACCGACCGAAAGGCCTCACCCAAGCGGCCCGAGTGCCCGAGTGCCACTGGCAACTCACCAAAAAGGCCACGCACCAAAGATCCACGTGCCCAGCGTATTCTGCCAGCGCCAGCGGTAGCCGCCGTGGCAAGCAGCACGCAAAGTCAAAGAGTCCACGTTGCCAGTTGCCGCGCAACGAAACACATCGCCCTTTTCACGCTAGTCTGTCGCTCAGCATGTCGCTGTACCATGCCAAGGATGAGGGTTGATCACATTGCACCAGCTCAGCTGGGCCCGTGTGGAGCTCTATCAACCCTATCAACCATCAGCCTGCAAAAACGGCTCTCAGGCCGACTTGGTGAGGTCTCATGCTTCAAACATGGACTGCGAGAGTGGCTAATCCTCCAATCCGAGCATCAGAACGGTCCAGTCTTGCAATTGTTCTTTGGGTTCCCCATGCAGTCCGTGCTGGATGCGCCAAAGCTGCTCTACGACAGCGCGCCTGAACTCACAGACTCTCTGTACGACCTTTGCAAAAGCAAATGATGCGCCTTGACTGTTCCAAGAATCGCAAAGATAGGGCAAGTTTGACTGGTCAAACAGCAAAATCCGAGGCTCTCGGTTTTCTTACGCGTTCAAAAGGGGGCTCACCATTTTTGGAGAACTTCCAGGGATTTCTCCCAAACGTGCAGTTGCCTTTGCAATTGCCCCAAAAGAAGGACACATTGGGGGTCAAGGGAAACTTGTGTGTGTGTGTGTCATGTTTGTCAAGCATTTCATGAAAGCAGGATGGCGCCTCAAATGCTGGAGGCTAAGGCAAAAGGCGTCGCGGGGTTCACATCTCTTGAGCTAGGCCCTTGCCAAGCCAACCACTGTTAGGAAGTATCTTCCCTTGAAAGAAAGCGGCACACACGCCCTCCAGCAACTAAACATGCCGATTGAGAACGTTTGCTCGAACAAGGAACGCAACACCTCACGGAAAATCGCTAAAGCAAACAGCGGTGAAAGCTACCTTAAGCAAGGTACACGCGGCTTAGATCTTGCAGTGCATGCCTTTCTGCACAAAATGCACATCTCATCAATGGCGATACCAAACAAAGGATACCAAAAAGACTCCAGCGAAGGGGGCTTCAGCTTACATGACGTTACCGTCATGTGCGTGTGCGTTGCATCCTAGATTCCACTTTTGAGAGCATGTAGGGTCAATCAAACAAACTGGGTCTTCACCTCCCTAAAAACTATTTCAATTTCTGTGCGCAACATAAAGTCTCTGTGTCACACTTCGCACCCTCGTGCTATGATGCAAGGCTGCCCAAAAGAAACTGGCCCGCGCACGCTGGCCCGGCCGACACCGTGCCCTGGAAAACGATCGCTATGTAACTTTTTCAGGTGATGTCCGCAGTTCCAAGCTGCGAAGGGATCGACAGCCGAAGTCCAGTCTTGCAAAAAGTTGACGAACCGCCGTGATCATGGTACTATCAACACTAGTCCAGAGTTTGTGTACACGTCAAAAGCCGCTGTGTGCGGCTCTGCACTCCGGCTAAGAATCCAAAACTCTTGCCACGAAGGCGGCGTTGAAAAATGAGACGAAAATTGTCGCTTAACTCTGCCGGAGAGCTGGCAGGCAGCCAAGCTGGCTATGGTCGCTCAGGCTTTGGCTTTGCCTCAGGCAAGCTGAAGCAGATGCGGAGAGCTACACCTTCAAGGAAGAAAACGTTCCTGGAACACCAAAAAGCACGGAACCGGTCCATGATTCGCTGGTCTGCAGTGCAGGGCACGCCCTGCTGTAAGACGTCCCACCATTCGCATGTTAATCTTCATAAGGAATATGTCCTTTGCCTTTCCAGTGTTTCCTTACTTTGTTCCAAGTCCCAGGTAGTCGGGGGTCTCAGATCCTATCCCCGTATCTGCTTTGCGCGAGGCTGATCCAGACGCGGTAGTCGTTGCCATTCGCAGCCTGCGCGTGCGGGCAAACTAAAATATGACCAGCTGAAAGATATGTCACTTGAACCTTGTCGCAATCCCAATCAACTTGGGAATGAAGAGCTAAGCAGTTCATGTCATGCTTGGTCAAAGCCTCGTGTGGGGCTGAGTCGGTTCTCTTTCACATGTTTGTCTCCAACACAATCTCCAACACAACGCTCCAAAACCTGCTCAGACCGACCAAAACATGATGAACAAAACGCCTTCCAAAAGCGGCATGCGGCGTGTGTTGGAAGGGGGAAAAAAACAGGGACAACATGAAAATACTTGATTTAAAACAAATAAAAAAAATGCGAAGATCGGAAACCAAACAAGAAGAGCCTGCTGCCAGTAGCCGCCATCCGCATCACTGTGCCGCGGCCCCAGCGCGACCCGCAGAGTCGCGGGTTCTCCGATCCTTCAGCCGGGGAGCGGCAAAATAGTTGGAACCCCAAAGAATATGTCCATGTCCTAAGACAAATGGAGGACCCCCAAAACTGATCGCTTTGAAAAGAGCTTGCGGAGGATAAGACTTACCTTTGCCAGGTAAGTCTCTCCGCAATGTAAAGGTCCGCATCAGCACAAGTAATGTTGACCTTGTCGTCCACCTGACATCGAATCTCTGCTTGGACTGCTGCGCCGATATTGGCTATACTGACGCCAAAAGGGTCATGATCAAGGGATGGGGTCACAGTCTACCCAAAGCCATGTCAAGAATCGGAAGGGTTAAAATCCACCCATGGGCTCAAAAGCCAAGCAGGCTTCGTCGGCCGCGCCTGGACGCCGCTCTGTTTCCGCAGCTTCAGCAGCGTGGTGATGCGCTTTCGCATGTCATCGCCCCAATCGCAGACATGGTCCCAGAAAATGCTGGGGATGCCTCGCGGCCGCGTGTGGTACATATTGCAGCTGAAACGGCCATGAACCCTGCTAAGCCTAGATTTACCCCTACTTGCAAGGCTCAGCGAATCAACCCAAACTCGGTCTCCAAGCTCCCCAAAACGAATGCCCTCAACTGCTCGGATTTGTCTGAGTCTGCCTTGTCTGGTGAAACAAAGCCTAGCCAGCTTCTCTGATGAGGAAGAGTTGTGACCGCCCTGAGTAATATGAGATGTTTTGAGGACTTGTTTTATACGAAACAGCTTCAATCATGCTTGCCTGGATGGGTCAAGATGTAGGCGTAGCCGACGATGACCTTGTCGCCCGGGAACGGCCTGAGAAGGAAGTCCTTTGTCATCCTTGTGTAGGCTTCACCAGTGACTGCGATGTGTGGCAACAGCACAGTTGCCGCTAAAAATAGATTGCTCACTGCACAACGTCATTCAGCAGCCCTTTCCCCAGCACAAGGCTCGCAGCTTCCCTCTGGGCTACCGCACCAGTGCGCCTGGGTACTGCCGGTGTCATGGTTGTCGAGGAAGGTCACCGCATGGCTGGGCATCCACCCGAGGAGCCCTGGAAAACTGAGGGACCAGCGCAAAGAGCAGCGCGGGCGAAATGGCGCGACGTACACAGACGAAGCGGTGGGGAGAAGAAACGAACCGTTGCCCAGGAAACCCTGATAATTTGCCACTGATGTGTTCCCCATGAAAACTCTGGATAAGCATGAAGCACCAACGCGCCCCCACAAACAAATGCGTTTGCTGCTTCATTGGAACCGGATGGCCGGGATGGGAGACCGGGATGGCCAAAACCTTCCACGCGGTTGATCGATCCGGAACTGCCCGTCCTGGTGGCTTGCCGTTGGGATCCTTCAGCCGCCAGTACTGGCAGTTCCGCACTGCCTCCTGTGTGCAGGCTGGAGGGGGGAAGCCGAAACAACGCTAAAGAAGGCCATGTTAAGGGCCTAAGAGGGCCCCCTCCCAGTTTCCCAGGCCCCACGAAAATTTGGTGACCCCGAAAAAATCAGATGTCCAGAGGGTGGGCTACAAAGGGGGTCAACCAGACACAAAACGCAGCAATCGCGGCTCTGCACGGCCCTCCGGTCAAGCTGTCTCCCGTGCTGCATTATTCCCTTTGAGCTTCCTCCAGTGAGAAATTCACGAGAGGAGACCCATACAATCCCATGCCATACAAGGAGTCTCGGGACCAAGAACCAAAATGTATGATGTACATGAAGCCATCAGACCCTTTTGATACAACCTAGTCCTTCCTAGCTCTTGTCTAGGTCTTCTCGCTAGTGAAAAGGATGTGGGTACTCTATGCGCGTGACATTTTTCACATTGACGTGGCCACTCTGCTGAGATGCCAAGGGCACACGTCTGGGCAGGCCTGCAAGATGCCCTTGGTTGTGAAGTCAAAAGCGGTGCTCCTCAGAGGCACTTGGGTGTGGCACAAACCTGAAGAGCCAAGGTTAAGAAGGCTTTTATCTTTGGTTCCATTAACCAAGGTGCCCATTTTCGTCACATGTTTGCTGAGGCAGGCTGAGCTTGCAAATGTCGCATTCTAACCGGTGCTTCAGAGCTGCAACTGTCGCTCTGAAAACCAGAAACACACATAGTGCTGACTGACAAGGAAGGTTCGAGGGTTGTCCCCCCAACTCAAATCAACGCAAGCTCGGTGGCTTCTATGGCTCGCCGGAAAATGGTCTGAAGGCCGGCCAAAGGCGGCCGCTCACAATCACCAAGCAAGTCAAAGGTTAGCTGCACTTCTTTGTGCGCTTTAATTGCAGGAAAGCTTCTCTTTGTCAGTAGCGTTGATCCAGTTGACGGTGTCTTGCCTGGCACGCGCCCCTTCACCTCACTTCGATTCCTGAAACTAAACACCTCCTTCGATTCCTACTTCTAAAACCTGTGGACCCCAACCATGGCGTCATTGCCTTTTGCGTGGTCTTGTTTGGCCAAATAGTTGACAGCATGGCCAAACATACCGTCAAGCCCCAGAAGACCAGCGCAGCATGCCAAAAATCCGAGCCGCCTGTGCTTGTCTTGGTTGTAGCTCAGGCCATCGCCATCATACCTGACAAACTATGCACAAACCACATCTTTGAGCCTTCAAAAAGGCGCAAATGCTGACACAAGTCACAAACAGAACAAGGGCCAGCCACCAAGTCTTGAGCAAGAAATGCGTGCTTGTTTGTCATTGCCTCTGACTATTGGCTGCAGGCACGCGCCTGTGGTGCGTGAAGCAAGCACAGGTCAAGCCGGATACCCCTCGCTCACAGGACTCAAGATTTACCTCTGCACGATAGCATTACAAGCCTGCCTCAGCGGGAGAAAACCTGTCACCTAGAGGTTGGGAAGGGTCCGGAGATCGACTTACGGGTCGACATCTGCGTCACGTCCAACGATCCTTTGGCGCTCCGAATCGCCAGCATTTCTTGGATCCATGGCCAATCTCAAACCGGCCCATCAACGAAATGGCTGATGCCCAAAAATGCAAGCATCATGTCCAAACGACATCAATGCTCCGTTCATAAGGTTGCATGCCTAGCGGCACCATGTCAAGCCAGAGCTCGCCCACGGCCCAGGCGGGCTCGCTCTTCTTGCAGTAGAGGCCCACGTACTCCGAGCTGTAGCCTGCGCAGTCTGAGAGGATGTTAGGACCATCGGAATGAATAGTTCAGGTTTCATGCTCGGCTTGTGAAATGGACAAGTAAGGAGAAGCCTCCCACACCCGTTCCCCAGCCCCAAAGAAGACAAAAACGACAACGATCACGGAAGTATCGAATAACCCGAAAACCGCGAGAAACCGAAAACCGCGGAGTATCCCGAAAACCGCGGAGTAGCCCGAAAACCGCGAGAAACCAAAAACCGCTCCGAAGGCATCGAACGACGGCGCTCGCCTTTGACAAAGTCGAAGCGCCAAGCATCGAAGCCGATCTCCAGGCGCAGCCATCGCAGCCAAATGGAGATGCTCTTCTGCACCTCCATGTATCTCAAAAATAGGACAGAATGGTGGTGGTTTTGATATTTTCGCGCTAAAGCCAGCCAAAAATGGCTCCCTGAACAAAGCCATATCATGTTGTTCTTGAAAAGGGCTAATAGTAGGTTGGTTTCTCCGCAAAGCCCCCTCGGGGCCCGCCTGCTCGTTGCTGTGGTCGATGTCTGGGGCAGCGTCGAACTTGTCGTCGAACCTGGTAGGGTTTGGTCTCCAACTTTTGGCCCTCACCCCTCAACAGGCCGAGGGCGCTGGCCCGGGCCGCTCTTGCCGGTGCCGTCCGAGAACTTGTCCCCCAAAGTGATGGCCCAGCCTTGGATCACGCGGGAAAGCGGCACTTGGAGGTAGGCCACAAATTGAGTAGTCCGAGAAGGGGGCCAATTTTATGTCTACAAGACTCGAATGCAGGAGAGGAACCTTTGCCTGAATTCCAAGGCTGCCAAGGCCAACTTCACCAAAAGACCCAACCAACAAGAAAGAGAGGCTTGATGGGGGTCGTTCAACAGGTAGCTGATCCCAAGTCCAAAAAGTTGCAGAAGCAAAGGAGAGGCATAACAATCTACACTACCTCGCTATTCCAAGCACAGTTCTCCCGCCACTCATGAAGTAACTCACTTCATTGTGTTCTCGTGGAGAGCTCTCAAGCAGGACGGTGACTCTTGAGGCCGCCCCGTCCCCGAATTCCCTCGCGCTGTCTTTCCCACATGGGGACCCTTTGGTGGACATCCATTTACTTCGAGACGTCTCTTTTGCGCCAACCATCTTAAAGGTCCTATCCTTCCCCATGTAAAGTGCACAAAACACGGCCCCCGCTCCAGGCTTCCTTCGCTGGGTGCAACCCCGGCCGCGCCTTGCCAGTCCATGATGCCGGCAAAGCTCTTCCGGTGCTCGATGCCCGTGGAGGTGTAGACGTTCCACCGGCCCTCGGAATCCTGGAGAAAAGGCTTGGAGAAGCGCAGGGAAGTGGCGGGGTTCTCCAAGACGTGCATGTGGCCTAGGGAAAGATGCATGTTTGATTTTGCCTGAAGAGGCGAAATCAATTTGGAGAACTTGCAACTTGTCTCGATGCCCTTCAGCCGTGCCAATGGGGCCTCGCTCAGTTGCCTAGTCTCCGAATTCGGCGCGGGCTGATTTCGGGTATCTCGTCCTGCTTGTCGCCACAGCGGTGATTGATGACAATGTCCGCCACGCCGCGCAGGCCCTGCGGAACGCGGTGAAAGACGTTTTGGGCAGGGGTTTGTCTATGCACTCGCTAACGCGGTCATCTGTGCACTCGGATTTTGGCCGTGCGTGCACTCGCGTTTCGGCCAAGCGGTCGCTTGTGCACTCGCCGAGCGAAAAATAGCGTTGCGTTCCAGAACTCGCTGGGCTGTGGCTGGCATCATAGCCATATCTATCTTACCCTCACCCCAACCCCACACCCCACCAAACCCCAGCCCGACCCTACCCCACCATAGCCCTTCTCGCTCTCTGTCCGTCTTTCGGCCTCTCTCCCTCTCTCTCTCTCTCGCTCCCTCTATGTCTCCCTCTCTCGCTCGGTATGTCTCCCTCTCTCTCTCTCTCTGTCTCTCGGTCTGCGTCTCCCTCTCTCTCGCTCTCGCTCTCTCTCTCTCTCTCTCTCTCTCTCTTTCTGTCTCTGTCTCTGTCTGTCTCTGTCTCTGTCTGCCTGTCTGTCTCTGTCTCTGTCTTTGTCTCTGTCTCTGTCTCTGCCTCTGCCTCTTCTTCTGCCTCTGCCTCTGCCTCTGCCTCTGCCTCTGCCTCTGCCTCTGTCTCTGCCTCTGCCTCTGCCTCTGTCTCTGTCTCTGTCTCTGTCTCTGTCTCTCTGTCTGTCTGTCTGTCTCTGTCTGTCTCTGTCTGTCTCTGTCTGTCTGTCTGTCGGTCGGTCGGTCCTCTCGCTCTCTCTCTCTCTCTCTCTCTCTCTTTCTCTCTCTCTCGCTCTCTCTGTCTCTCTCTCTCTCTCTCTCGGTATTTCTCGAACTTTCTGTTTATGGTCGCCGACGTAAGATATATAGGGCATGATGGGGAGGGGTGGGTTAGGGGTGGGTTAGGGGTGGGTTAGGGGTGGGTTAGGGGTGGGTTAGGGGTGGGTTAGGGGTGGGTTAGGGGTGGGTTAGGGGTGGGTTAGGGGTGGGTTAGGGGTGGGTTAGGGGTGGGTTAGGGGTGGGTTAGGGGTGGGTTAGGGGTGGGGTGTGGGCTGTGAGGTGTGGGGTGTGGTGGTTTGTGGTGTGTGGTGTGTGGGGTGTGGGGTGTGGGGTGTGGGGTGTGGGGTGTGCGGTGTGGGGTGTGGGGTGTGGGGTGTGGGGTGTGGGGTGTGGGGGGGTGTGGGGGGGGGTGTGGGGGGGGTGTGGGGTGTGGGGTGTGGGGTGAGGGGTGTGGGGTTTGGGTGGGGTATTTGTATCATTCATTCTATGATCCTTTCTCATATACAGATAACCCAATTTCAACTCTTCATCTGATTGTTGCAATTCTGGCAATGTTGCAATTTGAAACGTTGAACGTTGATTTAAAAATGCGCTAAGCAACTGCTGTCTTCCGGCGCCACAAGCAAGAATGACAGGAGGTCTGTGAGTGCGCAAATGACCGGAATCAGAGTGCGCAGAAGAACCCTGCCGTCTGTGGCATGAATCGACACATAAGTGCCAACCCTGCTCGGAGAAACTACAATCGGCCCCTAGCCATACCCATGGCTACCTCAAACCTGCAGTCCCCTGATGGTTGAATTTCGACCAATACCCATTTGAGCTTTCCAGCTCATCACGGACCATCTCTGAAGACAAGGGCAGGCAGCAGAAAACTTATGTTTCCATATGACAGCCCTCCGTCATCCCAAATATCCGTGATGACAAGAAGATGGTGCCAGCAAAGAGCGGAAAATGTGTCGCCTCAAGACTGCGGCAGGCCTCTGCTTTCTTCTGCTTCTTGAGCCGCAAGCAATTCCAAGCCGTTCAGTGAAGGGATCCAACGGTCAATGCAAGCCCCACCTTGTCGCGCATGGTCGCAAGCAGCTGCTTCAGGGCATCCTGAGGCAATCGGGCCTGTGGGAATCGGTCCAAATGGAAAGAGCCAATGGAGTGACTACAAGGCGATGTCAGGCAATGTGACTATGTTCCTTCTTTAACATACAATCTTACAAGGCAATGCGCGTTCAAGCTGGTTGCAGAAGGTTGGCTGAAGGTCACGCCTTCTTGCCGTATGCTGAGGCATCCAGGTTGAACAGCTGGGAGGGCAAGTAGCCCTACCCAACCCCACCCCCACCCCCCCGCTCCTGGAGCGAGTGGCCAACTCCCCGCAAACGGATTAATATGTTTTGGGAGACCAAAGGGAGACTACCCATTTTGACGATTACCGCAGAGATCCCTCACCAGCTTGCATGCTACAGAAGAGTAGATCCTGGATGATCGCTCGAAAAAAGCGAACAAAATAATGTCTTTGTTTAGTTCCTGTTGTGGAGAAATAACACGCCGACACTCATCAGGAGAGCATCAAATTTGAACATAGTCCGTGTTAGACATGACCGCAATGGCATGAAACCGATGAACAAATACCACGAGATGGCATTGGCGAAACACTAGATTGTTCCGAAAGAAGCTATGTTGCAATAGATTGAAGATGCTTGATCATCTGTTAGCATAATCATAAAATGAAAACAATGCCAACAAAATGCAAAGGCATGCCTTATTGATTCGGATTAGACCATAAAGTGGCTTGCAACCAAAGCAGCCAAAGGTGTCAAAGTCTCAAAATTACCAGGAAGTACCATCAACTGTAAAGAAAACACTCGCACATGTCGGTTCGTTCGCTGGAGTGGATGCCAAAATGCATGATGGCAACAACGGATAGGTGCTGCTTGGAAGAAAAAGACCGACTTGAGCCAGAGCTCATCCATCAGACAAATAAGAGAGCTGAGCGACGGCACGCAAGTTGCTTTTTGAGATGGCATTGCAAAAAATGCTCATGCACAACCAAGAAACTTGGAGCCCAAGTTTCTAATTCCGCGAAGGCAAACAAAAATCCAAATATGCCATTGGCACTCTCTCTCTCTCTCTCGCTCTCTCTCCCTCTCCTGTCAAGTCTCGCAGCCTGAGGCGCTACGGACTGGGAGGGCGGCGGAAGCCAAATGTCTGTGATGCCCATCTCCGCAAACATGTCCACCTCCGATGAATCTGGTGTGCAAAGGAATGACTTGTGCCCCGCGTTTTCCCCATTTAAACCAAGCAAGGGACCCAACTCAACTTTTGGACACCCGCGTGTCTGGCTGCAGAGGGGGGGAGAGCATCCAGTGCCTGTTCGCGATATTACATCCCATCTCTTCAGATTTGAAGCAAGATCACCGAGCCCAAGCTGCACCTCGGGCGTGGAACCCCGAAAGCTGATCCGATTCCAAGCTCCGGCCTTGGACTCCACGACGCCATACCAATTGCCCTTTCCAGCCTTGTGGCTTTCCCAGTTGAAGCCTGGCCATCAGCCAAAAAACAACACTCGGAACTCGGAACGGCCAGGCCGTGAAAAAGCGGCCTGATGAGAACGGCCCGACGAAAGCTGCGGGCATGTCGTGTCATATCATGAGTCGCAGATTCACTGCCCTATGCCATGGGGAAAATGAGTGGTCCTCTGTTCAATATCAACTCTGTTCCAGCTCGAGGCTGTGGTCCTTCTCGGGCGATTGAAGCAAGCCATAGCGTGACCTGTTCGCTGACATCACTGAATATCACACTCTCGCTTTCTGGAGAATCAAATACAAGATTGCCCCTGCGAGAGCAGTCTCCTACAAGACATAAGGCTTTTTCAAACAGAATCCGCGACAGAATTTGAAGACCCACGTTCGTCACGACTATCCCTCCCATCCCCCGGGCCCTGCAGCATCACGGTGTCAGAAGGATCCGCATAATCCGTGATCTTTTGCATCTCCTGAAGCACTTCAAGCGCCAGCCAGCCCCCTGGTCCCATCCGAAGGTCCAAAGGGAAGCCACTCGAAAAACTGCCTCACATCGAGCGCAAGGCTGTAAACACCAACCTCTGTGAGGAAACCACTCTCACCCACACCGGTCCTTCAAGAGGGTTCCGCTGGTCATGCGCCTGCAGGGTCTCATAGTGCAGTGGGTATCGCAATCACTCCGATCATCCCCAGCCCCCAGTATGACTTCCCACGGCAGCCCGAAAGTGGCTGCACAGCAGAATTCACAAGAACGCAAGCGCGACAATCAACTCCTTTCATCTTGAATTCCAAGCTTTGTAGTCCGTTTTCGACTCATCCCAAGCAACAACCGCCAGCACCGAACGCGCCCCATGCACCGAGAAGGGCCTCTGCTGCGCGTTCAAACGCTCCCTCTCCAGCTCCGCTAGGTGTGCCTCCTCTGCAGCCTAGCCGAATCGATCGATTCGCACAGCAAAGCATGTTGCCGAGCATGAGCCCAAGAAAGAATGAGGAACCTGCTGCAAAAATCGAGAATGAAGCGCCAAAGAAGTCATGCAGCACAATCAATTGATTACATCCTGCTCAGTGCCGCAGCTTCGCTCTCACAAGCTCCCTTCGTTTTTTGCCGTTTCCGGTTTCTGGAAGTCCCAGCCCATGGCAAGCGGCCGCTTCGCCATGGAAGGTCTCCATGTCCACCATCATGAGGCTCGGCGTGCGCGTCATGTCCATGTTGATGCTGCCATCTTGCATCTGGAACAGATGCCTCGACCTCAAAATCTACCGAAAGGGCCGCTTCACTCATCCATGGGTAGGACCGTCCCTTCCTAACCAACCTTCATTCACCGCATTTGATTCTGCCTCAGTTGGTCACAAGTAAGAAAGTGGAGCCCTCTCGGTGTTGCTTGCGAACGCAACCGTCTGGGGGCGGAAATGTCAAATGTCAAAAGAAAAACCTCGTGAGCTTTGGCTGGAATTTGTTTTGTGTGTTATGCTTAACATCAACTAATATGTTGGCTTCCTCTCCAATCGTGCGAGGAAACCCTGTACTGCTTGACAAATCAGCAGCAATGTCATTCCTTTGGGAGGTGGTTCCCACTTTCATACCTACTGCACCTGCAACATATTGCACTCAAATTGGCGGGTTGGAGGTTAGGCAACAAGAACCAGGCCTTCAAGCCGCCAATCAATCCAGACCACCCGTCAAAGGTTATCGGAAAACAGTGTACATGGTTTGATTGATTGTTTTTTCTTTGTAATATGTATATGTATATATATATATGGTGTATAAATGCATGTATGTGTATATATATATATATATACATAATATTGAAATAGAAAGGCACAGCCAATCTCGCCGAAGCGCTGGCGCTTCTCCATGGGCGGCGCCTGCATCCAAAGCACCAATGATATGATACCAACGCCTCCATCAATCAAAGCCTACAACAAGTTGGCGCGCCAGGACTGCTGGACTGGCTTTCAGCTGTTCCGTTGGCTGGAGAGTGCCGTTGCTTGGCATGAGACCTTGGCTCCAGAACCCGGTCTTACGGAACTTCTCTCCGTGCGCCTCACCGCCAGCAGCCTCGGGCTCCTGAGGCTGCAAGCCAGGTGCGGAAAACTTGTGCGAGCACCTTCTCAACACGGCCCTTGTCCACCGCCTCTTTGGAGAACCAGCTGCTTCCCCCAAGATTTCTTGCGCTTGAATTGCTGAAGGAAGGGACATGTGCACCACAAGGCCCCCGACCTTGTGTTCGATTTTTGGGGCCCAGCAAATTCGTGGCATGGCTTCCAGCAGGAGCTCGCAAACAGATCTTTATGCTAGAACAGTGCCAAGGAAAGCAGGACGCAAGTCAAGCAGCGATCGTTTCTCTTGCAGCCCAAGCCCGCCTCCTTGAGAGGCTCATCCTTGGCCTCGCGCTTTCCGAATCTCCGGCCGAGCAAAACCCATCGCGAGATGCACATCGCGCCGGCTCAGGGAACACAACATGCGATTGGAACTTGTGTTTCTTGCGGCTGACACAACCTGCCAGTTTCTTGGGCGATCCCGAAATGGAAAAGAGCACGAATTCCGATAGAGACACCAAATCCTTGCGAATCTGTCGTCCTCGCAAAGAACAATGCGCCATCCCGAACCCTGCCTCTGGTTTGGGAGCCTCTGTTTCAGGCGCCTGCGAATTGCAACCACACTTCCAAATGCAGTGCAGCGATATCACACCATCGTGATCCATCGTGGCACTCGCATTCAGCAAGATGCAAGCCGCAGACAAGCAAGACAGGTGCCCAATACCTGAAGATTCCACAGTGTTGATCTTGCCTATACTTGCCAGATGCACACGTGCCTGCCTTGTAGCCACCATTCTTGGACTCCTGACTCGACTGCTTGTCAAGCCCTCCGCCAAAAAAATCCGCCGACCCTCTGCCTCCCGTCCCAGCCTCCTGCAGAGGGGACCGGCGTGGGATGCAACTGGAAGTGATTGGAATCAATGATAGTCCCTGGGGGGCACGCCCGAACCCACAAAAAGTGGATTTGCAGGACCGGTCCCGGGACCGGTCCCGGGACCGGTCCTGGGACCAGTCCTGGGACCAGTCCTGGGACCAGTCCTGGGACTGGTCCTGGGACCCTGGTTCTGCTGTTTCGGATTAGGACCGGTCTGGGACCAGTCCTGGGACTGGTCCAGTCCCAGGACCGGGGTTTGTCCTGGGACTGGTCCCAGGACCAGTCCTGGCACCAGTGGGACCAGTCCTGGGACCGGTCCTGGGACTCCAGTCCTGGGACCGGTCTGGGAAGCCGGTCCGGGATCGAGTCCTGGTGTGACCGCTGGTCTTGGGTCCCAATTCAAACTGCTGTGCTGCCTCAAACCGCTCCAGACACCTTTCCGGACTGGCACCCATGACCCTGCGACCAAACCGGCCCGTGCGGTTGTTGACGTCCTTGTGGTAGTAGAGGATTGCATCTATTCTGCAAGAGAGTCCAATACGTCAAGTCAAACCGCGCCAGGGCGACCCCGGGAGAGGCGACTGCTCCCGGCCAACTCGAAGTGACTTGGGCGCAAGCCGGCCCAAGCGGTAATTAACGGACTAGCTGCCCTATTTCTGACTTTTCCGTTAATCCTTGTTTCTGGTCAACTTCGGGAGGGCCAGTTTCAGGGCGACCCCGGGAGAGGCGACTGCTCCCGGGCCAACTCGAAGTGACTTGGGCGCAAGCCGGCCCAAGCGGTAATTAACGGACTAGCTGCCCTATTTCTGACTTTTCCGTTAATCCTTGTTTGTGGTCGTAGAGGATCTTATAAGTGGTCCCTGGGTTTGCGGACGTGTTTCAGGACCGGTCCTTGTGACTTTTTTCTTAATGCGCCGAGGGTCGGCGGCAGCAGGCGGGAGCCTGGTTAATATATATCCAAAAACCGCTCGGTCTCAGCGCCCCTCCGGCTCCTCAAGACTGGCCACGCTCGTGTCGTCACCTCAAGCAGCGAGGAATATCCATTGGGTTGGGGAGGGCTATGAGTGCCGACAGACCCCTCTGCCTTTGGGGACGGCTTGCCCATGAGCGCCCAGGAACGCCGGAGCTCAAGCGGCCCAGAGGCTTGCAAAGCTCAAACGGAACAAAGGATTGCACATGAAACTGAAAAGACGCCCTGATTGAGGAGGCTCTGAACCTGCGCTTGCCCGACAAGCCAACTGGTTCCAATACAATCTCATTTCGGCAAACCAGGCTCCCCTTTACAACGTCCATAGGCAGTTCCACGAGACTCCGAAACCCTGAAAGCTTGAAACACCTATGATTCAAGGGGACAAAGCATGCAGACGCGCAACTCTCAACACGCGACTTGCGAGTCCGAGCCGCTTCCAAAGCTGCAAGTCACCTTGCTCTGACCCTCCTTGATCTCCCTGAGGCACGGTGAAAAAAGCGAAAGAGCCTAATATGTGTCCACCTCAACTAGCAGTCCCCAACCACTTGTTTGAAAATGTGATTCGGGCACGAACCTGTGCCCAGGCAATGGGTTAGTTGGGGTAAACGAGCCACAAAAGAAAGGTTCCCCAAAAGCAAACCAATCCCCGGTCCCAAAGATCAGGGTTTCCCACACACACCAGAGAACAACAACCAAAGGGAAAAACCAAAGCAAGAATACAAGTACCCGCAACCTTGATCGACGATGAACCGCACGGGCGGACCCCACCAGTCTGCCCCGGGCCGATGTCTCTCTCTCCACCGACACGAAGGTGATCGACGCGGGGACCCGGCAACGCTCATCCGAGGCGCGACGGACCCGCAAACTTGAGCCAGACACCACCGGTCAGTCGCTATCGCGACATCCCTGGTGATGGATTAAACCATGCCTAATCACACACCCCTCACGAGGAGCCCGTCATATATGACGGGTGGAGCGTGCCATTTACTGATAGGATTTAACTGCTCGCATGCGTCCGCAAACAGCTGGACACTACCGCCGTCAGCGGTGGAGCAAACCCACAAAGGCAGTTGCGCGACATCCCGGGCATTAAATTCCCGCCACCACCCCGAATTAATCGGGGTAACGCTGTCCAACATACCTCGTGGAAGAGTCCACATGACGACACTAGGCCACAACTGTTTGCATCAACAATGCAAGTAGTTCAATTCTTATCAGAAGCCATGAAAAAGATAACGTATGTCCACCAGTACCCTCGCCTATCGGCAAGAGGCACTCCTGACCATGCGTACTTGAATAAAACAGAAATTCCGCAAACCTGGGGGTGTCCTCCACCGGATTGCATCCCCGCTCACTCACACTACTTCTTGGTGACCGTCACCAGCAGCCGAGCAGCGGTGCAGTAGAGACACGAACAACACGCCTCGGCGGTGCAGGATGAACACGATCATCAATCGGCCGCAACCCTCGTGATTCAGCCTATCGGCTATCTTCACGCCTCCTCCGGTCACGTCCGCCCCGCGCACGGTCCCTGTCGCGATCCCTTTCGGATCTCCTGCGATCATCTCTCCTTCGATCCCGGTCTCGATCGAGCGATTCATCACCACGATGATCCCGATGATCGTCTCTCCTTCGGTCTCGATCTTCGTCTCTTCGCGGTCGATACCTGCGCCTTCGAAGAAAACGGACCTTCGGGAGGGAGTGCGGGAAACTTCCGAATCCCAACGTGTACGCCCGATGCGAGAGTTCGCCACTATCTGGTTGAGAACCTCCAGCGCTGAAGCATCCTCGCCATTCCTGATGAAATCTCTGACCTGCCTATTTAGCAGCCTATCGGGTGACATCGCCAGGAAAGCGTCCACCACTGAATTCTCCGGCAACGCCCGGAAATGGCCTTCCACCTGGCTTGCAGCAGCTCGTTCCGCCGAGAACAACCTGGCCTCACTTTCCCCAGGTTTCTTCGCCATTGCCTTGGAAGCCGTCAAGGGCGCTACCGCATCCTTTGCCGAAGACCTACCAAGCGCGGAGTGGAGATCATCTCCACTTGCCTCTCGCCGCACCTGGTCTGCTGTCGACATTGTCGGGTCTCTTCGACGCCTCCCGCTTCGTTGATTCCTTTGCAGGCACCTCTGGATCCCAACGAGAGCTCCTTTCCCTCTTTTGCTTTTCAGCCGGACTATCGCCGGGGGCATCGTCTCCGCTCCCCTTCTCCTTCTTGACCTCTACCTTCGGGTCAGCTCGCTTCGTCTCCTTGGGCTCGGTCCTCCCTGACGTACCACGAAGGCGACACCTCGCCATCGGGGCGCATAGGCACCGTAATCGGAACCAAGCCCTCATCCGGGCTCCCATCTCCTATCGAGTCGTACTCATCTGGCCTTGTGATCAATATCTCGACCATGGCCTTTCCATTCCGCCTCATCCTTTGGAGTTGGACCGCCTTCCTGAAGTCCTGGAACTTCATCACGACATACCCCACCATAGGAAGCTCATCCCAGTGCATCTCATACATTAGGGAGCCACCAGGAGCATCCCCTTCTGTGTACCTGAAGGCTCATATCCCGTCCGATCCGCGTGAACCGGACGGAGGCAGCCTAACGGCCCTCTCTACTGAAACGAGTCTCTTTTCTAACTTCTCAACCTCAGTGTTGGTCTGATCCTCGAAGGCACCTTGGCTTCTGGAGATAGCGAGATGCTTATCGAAGCTGACTCATTCCACCTTCTATGTCCCTAACGGAATCCCGAACTTCTTTGGAGAGTGAGTCCTTTGATCTATGATTTCTGTCAAGAGACGGCAAGGTGACGTCCCGTGGGACGCTGTCCACCGAACCCTCCAGCTGTGTAACCAACCACGTAGAAAGGTGTATACGGTCAAACCGTTATAGCCGAACCCGTGTAAACTGTTGTAAGGGATAGGGACCAATAACCACGATGGTGATCCTGGCAGCTGCAGCGCGAATGAAGTATTTTCCACTCTCTATGGTCGATCACGTGCAAACGTAGTTCATGCAAGACCTTGAGCCCTACTTGTGACTTGAGCCAACTGGCAGTCAATGGAACAATGTAACCAACACCAACACAGACCTCAGAACAGCTTCCCAGTTTAGGCACGGGGCCAGGCGGGTTTTAACATCCCCCATTTGGGTCGCATTGTTCATCATGCGGTCCAAACATCACAACACGTTCCAATGGCCACGGCTCCGACTACGAAACTGTGTCGAACACTCTTTCATTCACTATTGCTACACCGTCCATTCATTGTGAAACTTGCCAGGTCCAATCAAGACAGAAACATGCATCCGCAAATCGTAGCACATTCCTATACTCAGATGCAAGAGACATTTTGCCTCGAGCCAATACGCAACCACTTGAAATCCCGACTGCCGCATTTGCGCATCGCGCAGTCGTCATCCACAGAAATGGGTTGGCCATAGAAATCCATAGTAGCGCACGGTCATATGCCATCTGAATACCACTGGCAAAGAAGATTTGGCGGGCAACATATGCAAAATAGCCATTCCAGATACCACGAATCATATAAGGAAAAGAAATCATCCATGAGGTAATAGTGCACATCCATGAATATCCGGAATGTCATAGTCGTCGGAATATGTAAATATATATATATATATATATATATACGCATCCATTCTCCTTGGACACATGAAATCATATCATGTCAAAGAAATTTTCCATCATAGCTAAGTCGATGAGACGCAAGCGATGAATGGGGACTGGCCCACACCATGCTGCAATCAACATCGGAGTGAATTTCATGTATTGCTGCTGATGAATGCACCATACCGCAAAAGCAATGATTATCCACACCTGCATCACGCATATCTGTCCCCAATGGACAGCCTATTGGTGCGCCGACGGGTTCGTCCAAATTCTTTTGGGCTTCTCGCGCCCTGCGCATTTCCTGTGGTGGTCCTCTGGTAGCCAATGTCCCTTTCGGAGACACCAATCTAGCAGCATTTGTTCGAGTCAGTGGCCGCAATAATGGCGCTCACGTTGACCGAATAACCATATCTGCCAAGGTTCAAGCCTTCCCTTATGAATGATATATATTTGCAGTTGAAAGCCAGGGACAAGCATCTGTAAACAATATCACCCACCGGGTGTATGCGATCCTTGACCAGGAGCTTCATTTCGTCTTTGGTGATGTCGAGGATCTTCGCTGCAATCCACAGCTTGTAGAACATGTATAGCCCCTCGCATTTGTACACCAAATAACGGATGTATTCGTTGCGCTCCTCAGCCGACCGGAAGGTCCTTTCTCGAACGCTCTGAGATTGGGAAATCTTCAGAACCGTTGATGGCAAGAGGATCCCTTCCTGATCAATCTCTGTCATGTTGGGGTACTTCCCGAAGTCGTTATGGTATGGGCAAGCGTGCTTCCCTTCGAGAGCGGCATCGATCGTTCTCTTTTCCCCACCCTCGAACATCCCCCACATCTTTGACATCTGCAGTGCGATGAATCCCGCCATGTGTTGAGCCTCCCGTGGCTCATCCATGCAGATCGCCATCCGCTGGGAATTGATAATATCCCGTGATGCCATGTCATTGTCGCGGTACTGCCAACCACCGTCTTCTTCCTCGGACATGTAGCCAGATGTGTATCCTTGCGTGTCCATGTCGTCGTCTTCGGGATCATTTTCCGTCTCATCAACCTCTTCCTGCTCCGCCGCGTTGTCGTTAGCCTCATCTTGCGCTCGTCTGGCGTCACCTGGGTTTATGGTCGTCCCCCTCGTCATCGGAACCAATGTGGTTGCAGAATCTCCCGGTAGAGATCAATTGCGCCCCACATTCCAGACACACACAGAAGCACGTTGGAATCGCGGTTGCACATGACGGACAAATTCGGCATCGTAGCCTTCCCATGTCTCGTCGTTCAGGATGATGGTCTTGCTGATCTCGTCCCTGATCTCGTTGGTCAGAGTCTCAAACTCTTCTAGTTTGTTTTCCCGAAACAGTTCGCAGGCACGATCCACCATGCCTTGAACGTAGTGCAGATTGTCGGCACCCGCCTCTGTTTCAGGCATTCCCTCGATGATTTTTGCGACGTTCTGAAGGAACATCGTGGCCGACTCCTGGGAAGAACCAACGAATCCCGGGCAGATCTCATTCTCAACACATTTTGAGTACGCCCGCTTGGTGCTCTCGTACTCCAGGCATTTCCCTCCGTTGCTCTTGCCAATCCAAATGGATTTGACCTCATAGAACGGGATCACGTCAAAGACCATGAATGTTCCGTTGAACGCGACTCCAGCTCCATATCGCGCGAGGGTCGCACTGGGAATGTAGATGATTGCAAGTGGATCTCCAGTCCTCAAATTTCGTAGCGTCGTCTTCGTCGCTACGTTCATCTCATCCCATGGAGGAAATGCCCCGAAGCGCAATGCCAGCCTGTTTCCGCCATCGATTCCGCCGGGGACTAGCCCACAGCGTACAATGCTTGGCAGGTTCTCCACGTATGTC